ATTGATGTTGTTGAGAGATGGATTGGACACTGTTGTTGGTCTTTGCATGAGATTTCTCAATTCAAACGAAGATATACAATTAACTCACACACACACACAGCTGCTGCTACATCTGTGATTTATTTCCAACGGAGAACATTTGCCAACATCCTCTCTTTCTTCCCAGTTTTGTTATTATGACTTTTTTAAAGTGCAGTATGAGTGAATGTAGGCTACTTACACGGGAGAAAATACTCCAGAACAGCTCTATTACTACTTATTAATTCACCAGTAATCTGATGTATTTATTATTTATATCATAACCATTCATTTCTTCCCTTGAAATCATTGCTTACACAGCTCTATGGCTTGGCTACATGTCTTTAACGGCAGAAAGAGCTCTTTTACTCTTCTTTTGATGTTTGTCCTGCTCATTCGGTTCAATACAGCTATAGACCCCTCAGGCTTTGAATCCCACAGAGAAATGTCTCCTCTGGGAAATCAGCTGTATGCAGCAATTGCCACAGGATAAATGACATACGCTCCATCAATTCAACATACTGGTGTAGATCGGCCAAGACACGTTGATTGGCTATCACAACTGAGTTCATGACAACAAAGAGTATTTGACATTAATATTCATTCAATGTAGACCTTGCTCTGTGCAGTTCAAGACAAAAGGGAAAGGAGTTCGAAAGATCAGAGCTGGGAAGGGAAAAGAAAGGGAAACCTGTTGCAAATACATTTATGAAACAAAGAAACGTGAAATGAATAACGGAGCCTTTTCTGTGAAAAATCAGCAAACTCAATTTTACGGTTCTTGCTGTAAGTAATTGGAGTTGATTAGAGCTGTTGACCAATTTGGCCCCACAGCCTGTGATCATTTAGGTAAACATGAAGTGGTTAATTTTTACAGCAGCCCAGGGTTTTATTGCATTTTTCTTTATGTTGCATTTGTTGATTATTCACATTTATCGTCAGTTTGATTACCAACATTAACCTGCAGCTCAACTCTTGTTTGCACATGCAGTCCAGACACTGTTCAACTGGCCTCTGGAAGCAGTAGTTCAGAGTAAAGTTACAATAAATGTAAAGGACCATATTTCCTTTTGCGTCTCAGTGAGTGACTTTTTTTGCTTTTAATCACAAGTCCTTTGCAAATAACAATGATTTTTTTTTGAAGGAAACAAAATGCCCTCTGTTTGACAAAACAGGGATAGGTAGTGTTTCTCAATGTGTTGATACTATATGCAATATAAACTGAGGATTATGCCTTCACAGTGTTTAAGTATTTCCTTCTCTTTCCTTAATAACATGAATTATGACATCTCAATAATGTGAATCTCCTCAACAAAGTGCTCGTCAGGCTGAAACAGGAGAATGACAATCAGTTTTTTGAATGGAGGAAAAGATAAGAATAGAGTTCCTTTATTGCTAAAGAGCAACCATCTGCAGTCAATTTTAACAAACCCTCTGCTGTCATTGTCTCCTCTTCAATTAACACATGGTGGTAAGTATTTGAGAATGTACCATCCTGACAATGGCTGAATCAGACAAAGTAACAGAGCAGGCAGGGGGATGCATGCAGCTCTTCCAAGAACGGCAACAAATCATCAATACATTGTGTAGTGCTAGTTATCACAAATTGTTTTTTTTCTTCTTAGTCAGGTTTATCAGGGACTTGTTTAAAGCATTAGAGCTTCAAGTGTGACTCTGTGCAGGTGCCACACAATCAAACAAAGACCATGATCAATAGCCACTTGCTCGGCTACTTTCAAGCTGCCATGAAGAGGTAGGAATATGTTTATTTTGAATTGCCAGGTGCTTTGAACAATAAGCTTTTCAGCTCAGGTAACAGGTGAAGCGTGGGAATGATTTATACACATTAAGTGCTGAAGACTGAGAAAGATTTGTGAGCTTCTTGTGAGTAAAATATTGGTTTTAAATCCAGCTTGTTCAGTGGCGTAGACCATCTGATGTGCTGCCACATTGGTTCAATCTTTATTTATTTCTTGAGGAATCATTGAGGGCGTGCTCTCGTTTTCAAAGATGTTGCAATTTAATACATTGTCACTCATCTCCTTGAGGCTCTTGGAGTCATTTGTCAACCAATTTAGAATTAAAGTCAACTAAAACCAGTAACCTTACATAAACTGAACCACGAAAATAAGTCTGTTAATTTAAGCTAAGCTGATATGAGCTTTCTAATATTTAGATACGTAAAACACAGGCCTTATCTTTTTAAGGGTCACAAGAGGGCACATTGGAAGATGGAAAACTAGATCTTGTTTGGGTTTTATTGTTATTATCAAATTATCAGGGTTGTAAAAACTTGGAGAGGAGAGAGGCTGGCAGTGCGCCTCTTATGTAGACCAGCAGTGATGTGCTGTGAACAGGGCTCACATGAATATCAAAAAGCAAGTGAAATTGCAGGAGAAAGAAGCAGCTTAATACACCAACAGGCGGAGCTAGTGAGTTATGGGGACCATTAGTAGTAGTGAGGAAGAGTTACGAACACTGACCTGTTCTGTGGTGATCATTTGTCTTGTCTTGCGGTCGAGATGTGATGGACAATGTTTGCTAATAGGCATAGATGCCTAGAACACTGGGGTTATCTCTGTTAGACAAGGATGCATGCTCTGGGTAAGATAAGAATCGTCTATTTCCACAAAGGTGTGCAAGGAACACATTGTTCTACAAGTTTCCAGACTGAACAGCCTGCTGAAAAACTCGATACTCTCTGGGCATCAGTCCAGAGATAGAAAAACAAAACTTACACTTTGGTTTGTTAGACTGTCCACTGGAGATATTTGTGCTGATGTAGGCGATAATGTGATGAGATGGGATTTGCTAAACCATTTCCAGAACATTGGTAAAGGAAAGCAATACTTTATGGCTGTTTAGGATGTAATTCTTTTGACAATGGAATCACCCATAACCAGTTTGGCCTTCATGGGTAAGGGGCCCTTGAGGTCTGGATCAGAGAAAGTACTGAACAAACAGCAAACTGTTTATAGCTGGACTGTCAGATAGGGAATACTGATCAGAGCATGCTATTTTTTAGTTCAGTGACCTAAACCAGAGAGATGGTTGTTTCTTCTTTATTTTGTTGAATTCTAATAAACTTTCGGTCATGTTTTTGTATTTTCGACAACCTGGAAGCTGAAAAACGAAGCCAATGCAAAGTATAAAACACTGTTGTTTCTTTAATAGTCACTTGAGACTGGCTCTAAAATAATTGTAGTTTTTCCTCAGAAACCTTAAAAAGACAACATTTACAGCAAATTAAAAAAAAAGATGTAAATGCTGATCCAAAATGATCTCGTTCTGTTGAGCTTTATTTACTATATTTTGAGGGCACTCACTCTTGGTACTCGGCGGCCCTTTCTGAGAAGCCACAGTTTAGTAAGGAGTGCGGACTTTTCAGTAGCCGGTTTCAGTAGACTGAAGCCTTGTGGTCATTCAGTAGGCTTTTTTCGAACACTAACTTACGGGTTTTGTGTAGTATGGTTCGGATGTGCATCCTTTCAGGAAATTAATTGTGTTTTAATATCCACAATGCTGTGCGAAATTAAATGTAAAACGTCACTTCACGTACGTCTCCAAATCAAAATGAACAAGGATGAAAAAGTGAAGGAAAAAAAACGGGGGCAGATGCAGCTGGTTCGGGTTACACAATGTCAAGTTGTTGTTGAAATGTTTACATGCAATATGAAGTTTTGTATTATTTATTGAGTCATCATGCATTTCACATCTGAGTTGGAGTGTCAATAACATGACGCGGGCTAATGACGCCAAACCCACACTGACTGAATCTTACTTAAGTCGGAACAAATATCTGCCTTCTGTGGGCGCCTACTGAACACTAGGTCCGAACAGTATACAGCACAGAGAGAAGGGATTGTGTACTGTCAGATTATACAGGTACTTTGCAATTCGGAAGCACCCACTGAGGTTTATGAGGGAATGAACTCAGTGCAGAGTCAGGTGTGTGTGTGTGGCTGATTGGCCTTGATTAAGACCAGGTGTGGGGAGCTTTACTCTCGGGTTCCAGTGCTCTGTTCTGACTCACTGACTCACCAGTGATAGTGAGAGGTTCTTCCAGTGATTGTGCTTGTTGTATAGGGTATTGTGAATCAATTGAAGCACCACTTGAAACTGTCTGTAAGCTTTATTTACCTTTTTTAGTGTCTTATAGTGTTGGCACCGGGTTGTTGTTTTCTGCCCCAGCCTTATGAGTTTCAGCTCTGCAACCATTAGTTCCCTTGGTCTTCTTGAGATACTTCAGTGTCTTGGCAGCTGCTTGCTGGTTATGGTTTACTTTCCTCTTTCAAAGTTCTAGATGAAGGGAGTTTGATTTTGTTTTCCCAAGTTATAATTCTGTTACTTCCACTTTTCCTAAGGAGTACTTGACATTTCAGTGGTTATCCCTCTTGGGTAACTTTCAGACACCCCTCCTGGCCTGCAGTTTTGTCCCACTCCCATTCTCCCTTACACCAAATGATGACAATGTTAAGAGAGGTTGTAGATTTATTATAAACCATCCATTTAAATTACATTGAGGCTACCAGCTGTCTGCCAGGCATCTCCTCAGCTAATTTTTCACACTTAACATCTTTGGTATTTATTCTTGAGTTGAAATGTGGTCACTTATGGCTTTGAAACAAAAAATGGCCACTGCCGAAATTGTAAACTAAAGACTTCAAAGCTGTTGTCAACAAACCAACAAACCAATGTTGGATTGTATCCTGTCTCATTTAAGAATGTACTCTTGTGCACAAAAACCACCTAGCTGCTTGCCCTGTTGTTGTTTGAAATAACATCCCTGCATGGGACGCTAGTCTCTAAGCTTCACAATTACTTGTTGAATCTATATCAATAACAATGTATAAGGTTACAATGAGTGGAGGGTTTGCAAGATGCTCTGTACATATCGAGAAACAAATATAATAAATAATAAAAAGGCCACCAAAGCCGATTTATTTTAATTAAATGTCAATATTGTCAAAGGCCATATTTTTCAACTGAAATTCAGGATTCTTGTAACGCATACACAATAGCAGTACCTTTTGAAGACTAGATGCCAGTTTCTAAGAGTTGTTTTAAGCTAATTAATTAACTGTGGAGGCTCGTCCAGCTAAAAAGAAAAAAAAATCTATAGTGGCAAATTAGAAAAGTGCTTTGAGTTTTACAGAAACAATGGATCTATTTTTTCTTCTCTGTAGTTCCCTCATCCTTTTTTTCTGCTGACTGGGCCTACTCCGCTTTCTCATCTTCATCTTGGTCTTTTTTCTCATCTTCCTTTTTCACCCCGTCTCCTTCCCTCTCCTCCAATATTTCATCTTCCTTTTTCACCCCGTCTCCTTCCCTCTCCTCCAATATTTCATCGTCCTTTTTCTCCCCTTCAACGTCTTTCTCTTCTTTTTTCCCCTCTTCTTCTTCCTCATCTTCATCCTCCACCTCCTCTCCTGTCAGGTGTTCCAGATCGGCAATGCGATGTCTGAGAGTTGTATCAGTGTTCTTGTAATTTCCAAGAATCTTCTTCAGCTTGGTCTGCATTAGCTCCATGGAGTTGTACAATTTGTTAACCTTCTCCTCCAGCTCCTTTGCCTCAGGCATTATGTTAGCCGGGTCCAAGTCAATCAGACCATCTTTCATCAGGATCTGCCGGCCTTTGTCCTCTAGCATCCCTTTGGCATCTGGATACTCTGTCAGTGACTCCATTAGGTCGTCTTTGGACAGACAGAAGAGATCTGAGTATCCAATGCTGCGGATGTTGGCTGTTCGTCGGTTTCCTGCTTTGCTGCCTTTGATGTTAAGGATACTGATCTCGCCAAAGTAGCTCCCACTTCCTAGCACAACAAACTGGGTGACGCCATCATCAGCAACAACTGCGAGTTTTCCATCTTTGATGATGTACATCTCCCGACCAATGTCGCCCTTTTTGCAGATATAGTCTCCAGGGCTGAATACTTGTGGCCTTAACTTGAGCACCAGCTCAATCAAAAGACCTGCTTCACAGTCTGCAAAAATACGAACTTTCTTCAGGGTCTCCATGTGGACTTGGATGGCAATCTCTGCCTTCAGTTTGTCTGGAAGGTACCGCAGCACCTCTCTTTCATCCTGTGCCTTTCCGTTATTCCACAAGTAGTCAAACCACTTGATGACTCGCAGCTCCAGTTCCTTGCTGACCTTTCGAACCTATAAAGGAAATGAAAATACAAACTTTCAAAATATGTGCAACAGATGATTGTGCTCTTACTTGCAAAAAAACGTTTTAACAGGAAATCAAAGGCCCGGATTCCATTTGTCAATATTATACCTCTCATTTATAATTTTACTTTTAAGTGCATTGGTGTTCCTGTCTGTAACATTATGATTATGCTGCAGCACTTTCGCACAATAAAGCAAAAAGAAGGAAGAGATCCTCTGTCTCAATTAGCCTTCCTGTCCAAAGAAGGGGTAAAACATTTGTAGGTAAGCAAAAAGTGGACCACAGTACCACTGTGATTTTACATTTTAATCTCACAACCCTTTTTCTTTAGCTACAAGAAACTTTAATTGAAAAAGATGGTGGAGCATGTCGGGCATTGTCTATTACACGTTGCCACTTCCAGTGCCCAGGCAGCTGTATCATTTTCTTCCACAGAATCGGATCATTGTTTACACAATCAAGATCATGCTGAACATCATGATGACTTGAAAGTAAATAAGGCCAAATATGGATTGACAAAATGTTAACTGAGGTAATAAATCAATTTGGAAGTAGGGTTTATTTTTAAAATCTGCTTCTTCAGTATACAATAAGACATATTTTCCATTAGTGGAGTTGCCTTCTGTTTGTATACAGATAAAATGCATATTAAGGCAGTTCCACATTGGCGTCTGCTTTTTAACAAAGAGGAAACATCCACTTTACAGCCTATGATCTACCTGCATGTACTGCTTGATGTTGTCAATCCTGGATTGAAACTGAGCTTGGGCGGCGTTCATATTGGAGATCATGGTGGCAATGTTCCCTACAATGGTGGCAAAGATCAGGACTCCAACTAAAAAATCAATCACATGGAAGAAAAATTCCGAGTCAAGAGCCGGTGGTGGAGTTTCTCCAATGGTTGTCAGGGTCAGTGTGGACCAGTAGAGGCTGAACGCATACTTCCTCATGGGTTGCCCAAACGCGGGCTCCTGAGGATCATCCAAAGCCGGGTAAACCCAGTCGTCAGCACCGAAGCCAATGTATTTAGAGAAGGAGAAGTAGAAGCAAGCATTCCAGTGGATAATAATGAGGATGTACATTATCAGGTTTGAAATACGGAAGATATTAGGGTAGTTGGTTTTAGTCTCAGTCCTTGTGAAGAACTCCATCAGGCGTCCAATTCTGAGCAGCTTGTTGATGCGGATCTCTGGGTAGTCAAGGCCATAGTACAAATAAAGGATGTCAGTGGGCAGCATGGAGACAGCATCAAGACGAAACTGGAAGCTGGCTATGTAGCGATCCTTAAGCAGCTTCTCATCTTTTATCATCAAGCCTTGCTCAAGGTAACCTGCATTCAAAGACAGGGAAATGTCATCAAGACAACAAGAACAATCTGTTTCATTTGCATGCCTGCATTCTAGTTCCAGAGACAAGTTTGAATATAAGTGTTTTCTATTACTACTGACACGGCTAAGTTAAATACGTATTCTCAGGTCTGCGATAGAAAAATAGTTCTACTTTGAAGAACAGATTGTTTCTTAGAATGCTGGTCTGAACACAGATTCTGGCGGACATCTTGTGGTCTTCTCTGGACCAAAAAGGGATAGGGACAAAAACAATGTAGAAAAAGCAAGAAATGTCTTAAAAGAAACGACAGCAAAAACGGAAAGGTAAAGGCTTCGACAGAGAAACAACACAACTGAAGAAGGCACATGAAGAAAGGCGAAATGGAACGTGTGATGGGATTGGACAGTGTTTAAAAACTTGTGAATGGAAAAGAAAATGTCAGCAAACCTTGATCAAGAATGGGTTCAATCAGGTGCCACAGTGAGATGATGATTAAAATAGCCCACTGTGAGCAGGTTGCTATTGCAGACAAACTTGTTTTGGTTGGGAAAGATCCCTTGGCTTTGAATTAGGGTCCTGCTCACCCTGTCGGGGTTCCATTCAAGTCTACAATTAACTGACTTTACATTGTTTTTGACATAATTACCCCCTTTATTACGTGCAGATGGTTACCATTCAAGTACAGATCAAAGGCAACTTCTTAGAAAGAGCTGGCTGCAACAGGGATAATTCAGTTATCTCAACGAAAAAGACTTGTTAGAACTGCATTGCAGTGAAACAATAATGCAGTTAAGAGTTGTTGTGTTTCGAATCATTAGTATTGTACACAACGTCCTCTCACTTTGTAATTAGTCTTCCTTCTCAGATTCACTGGGATTCATGTTTGTTATAAAATGAAACACAGTAGAAGGAGAATAGAAGGCGAATACCTGTACATCCACAAATCTTACACCTTGGTCTTATAATACAGACACAAACAGGCTTGTTTTGCTTTAATCCTTTTTATCAGTGATGAATTTCCTTGCTCATGTATTTGTAGGGAAGATAACAGGGGACAAAAATCACAGCTGCTGTTACTCTTTTCTCCACGCAAAAATGCATTTTCAAGTAACTTGAAATTGAAGTTAATTTGAGGCTTCAGCAGACCAAATTAGTCAAATGAAGTGGATATCTCCCTGAGTTACTCATTTTTTTTAAGTAGAAAATAATCCTCTTATGAGATGGCAATTTCTCACAGGGGAAAGTAACACCATGAGAGAATGTTGTGCTTACAAGACAAAAGCTCCCAGAAAATGTCCCAGTGGTTTGTATAGCTCAGACTCTCTCAGGTTCATTAGAAGGCATTTTTGAGCAGAACAATGTCTGTGTATGTTATTCCTTCCTCATACATTGAACTCTCATTAAAGGAAGAATGTGTGACTTTATGATCCAGTAGATGTCACCCTTAACACCAGTAGTGAACCAAAACAAACTGCTGTTGGGTAAAACAACCGCTATTCTGAAACCTCCGCTCTCCTTCAACCGCTCGCATTCAAAATAAGGAGTTATCAATTAGAACGCACCATAATAAAGCACTATTAGCAGTGAGTAGTATGTTATTCTTCTGTTCTCTCGTCCTAGACTAAAACAGCTTCATACTCAAGGCCGCCCCCGTCCATGTAAACATGATGGAAACACAGCTCTAACAACAATACAGTTGGCGTCACTCGAGCTTCTCACTCATTGTAGAAAGTCATGACTCAGAGAGACATTTACAGAGGATATACATTTTTTCTGCTGTATTTGTGTAAAATGTTGCACATTCTTCCTTTGAAATTATATTTTTGTTAGTTATGAAAAGAGGAACAACTACAGCTGTTTTTCTTAATAAAGGCAGGCAGGGTTGTTTTAAAACAGAACAAACAAATATGAACTTTTCCTTTCAAATGTTTTGAAAACTTTATGAAGATTGAGAGGCTGATGTCAGACGTTACCTGTTCTGGTCCTGACAAACATGTCAGCCAGGTAGATTAAGTCCGAGGTGTAGTCCAGAATGACCCAGTAAATGATGTAGTTATGCTGCAGCTCCTCAAAGCAGGCCCTGTTTGTAGGAGGAAGTAGAAGTAAATTAATTATGTTGAGCACATTCACCATTGTGTCAGATTGTGATTCTGCTGCAGCAGATGTTGTAGCACGCTCACCAGTCTCTACTAATTCTGAAAAAATAAGCCTTAATTATTGCAGTGTATACAAATTAAATCAAGCTAGATTTACCACAAGCTTAGAAAAGAGCAAGGATCTTTTGTTTCTGTACAAAGTCAGCCCACTGAGAAAATCAGGTCTAATGAGTAGCATTAAATGGAGCTGAATGCAATCATACACTCACAAAAATATTTAGGTCTGATATGTAAGATTTATGTATTTTAATTGCATATAAAATTTCCATTCATTTTTATTATACAGTTTTTACATAAAACAATGTAATAAACTTTGTGATTCACATGTTTAAGTCAAACCTTAATGAAATACATCAATTTTAGATTCATGTAATATTTTTACATTAAACATATCTATTTTAATGGTACAATTAATTGTGTTATTTCTTTATCATACATAAAACCAATTAATTTCAATTTCTTAAAAACCTGGCTCATCGATTTAATATACATAGAACGTATTTGTTTGAAATGCATAGAAAGTAAGTTAGTACAATGGGCCAAATTTAATAAAAATTTGATTCATAAACTTTATATATATAGTATTAAAACATGTTTTACCCCAATCGTTCCACAGCTACAGATTCATCAAAGAATACACAAAAATGGAACAAACTCCTTGGTTGGAATTTTATTTATGCCTTCAGAACAGTAGTTCAGAGGACATAGAAGAACCACAGAATTGCACTAATGCCACAACAGGACATCCAAAAAAAAAAATTGACACCTACACAGAACCAGTGGTCAATAATGTTGTGTGCAAAAAGCTGTAAGATATAAAAGTACAAAAAACATTCAGGCAGTCACCTTCTCGATCTTAAACTGTTATTTAAAGGAACTGAGAAGATCCCAACTCTTCTATCAATCTTAAAGGAGCAGCTTTTCCGCTGACATCGACACTTGTCCATAAGTCACATGCAGCGTACAAAAAGTCAAGAAACATTACATGTATCTACATTTTCAGATTACGATGCAGAGCACCAACACAAGGCTCAGGTGAGAAGTCTTTCCGCTGGCATTGACACTTGTCCATAAGTAACATAAAATAGCTTGGTGGCTCACATTTGCTCACAAGAAAATGTCTATATTTTCCATGAAAAATATAGCAATAACTTTGAGGAGTTAAGTTAGTTTCTGAAATACTTTGAATGTACACTTTAGGTCCTTAGGATAACTCAGATTGAGCGCATAAATCAGGCCAAAGAGCATCACACATCCAAGTGTGACACTTTGCAGGTCTTTCACTACGTCCACGCCTTCAAGTACGACTCCAACATCAGCTGGTTCATCATCAAGGTCTGCGCCTTCCACACGAGTCACGTAAATGCCCATTGTTATATGTTCAATCCCACACTCAGCCTCAGCACATTTGCTGTCCTGGTTGAAAAAAAGTAAAGATGTATGAGACATAAAACATATCCATCAATGCATTTATACCTGTAAAACATTTATAACAAACGGCAGGTTGAAATAAACTAACCATGTACTCTTTGACGAGTGTCTCCATGTCCTCATTGAGATAGATGCTGAGGCTCCTTACTACACAGTCCCTGGTGAGGGCTATGTTTTCACACTGAAAAATATTCAAAGAAAAACACATTGTATGAAAACAGACAAATTAATTGTCTGAAATTCAAAGAGCAGAGAAATCATGACTGATTAAAACATATTTCTTTTTAAAAGACAATTTTAATGTAAATAACATATTTTAATTTATGGTTTGTGCACAATAAAAATATAGTTAAGTTATTTTCGGACTTCTGATAGTTTTTTTATATCTCTATAAGATATTTTAATCTTCAAGTGAAGTTACTCAGCGATGCCTGAAGAGGGGGGTAAATAGAAAAAAAAACAGTTGAGGCTCAGGTTGGAATGTGATTTTTTTTTGTCAATTATATATTGCAAACAACACATTTTGAACACTTGGCTTTAGTTAACACCTTTCTGCTGCTGCAGAGTGTACTGGAACCCTTTCAACTTTAAAAGAGTTACAAAAAGAGATGAGTCTTTTATAAAACCAGAATATTTCCGATGTACTTATCAATAAAAAAAATCACCAATAAAAGAAAAGATGATTTTAATCACTGAAAGTTTTTTATTATAAGTGTAATGAGGCTTGACTGAATCTGTCAATGTGTCTTTAGTGTAGATATAGAAATACTTGACAAGACCCCCACTTACAGTAGCTGTTGGTGCCATTATGGTGCAGATTTTCTGTCCTACAGTTCCTCCTTTGGCACGGAAAAGCTTCATCAGGTCAGGGGTATATCTGTCAAGCTGTCCGATGAATATTGAAATCAGAGGAACAGTTGTTATGCGCATGAACTCCCAGTTGACCTGAAAAACAGAAAATTGACACGGCTTTGAGCAAGATGTTTAAGACTGAAAGCAGTGATTTGCTTCTATAGAACTACATTTACCTCAGCAACTCCAAACAGAGCTGGCCATCTTTTAAAGACCTCTAGTACCATTGGCTCCTGTAGAACTTCTTGTCCTTTGATATGAAAATGTACGCTGCATCTTTTCCTTGATCAACGCCTCATTATTCTTTTTTACTTCTGTCAACAGAGAAACCCTTTCCACTTCCAGGCTGTCTGTAGTTTCACCTTTTGGGTGGCTTGGACAGAAATTGACTTCTGCCATCCGGGGCTTTTATGAAAACAAAGGAAAAAATTACATCAGTTGTAAGGTCATGTCGAAGGTTTCTAAGTTGTATATTAAGAAATTACAACACCCTAAAACCAACTACTTTATAAAGAAATAGGATTTACAGTACTTCCTTAATAAAAATAATAATAATATACTAGCTAAATAGCCCAGAGAAACTTGAAAACATTTATGTATTAATTGCTTTATTAGTTTATCTATTTCCAAAGGAATAGTTAACATTTAATTAACCTAAAAGTGAGTAAGCCTATTATTTCTCCTTAGGTCAAAGAAATAAGAAAGAGGTTGATTATTAAAGTTCCAAGTAAAAAAACATACTTACAAGAACTAAGAGGTCGCCCTGTCATGCCAGTGGTCATTAGGATGCTTGAAATAATCAGATACCTGTTAAAGAGAAAACAATTTAAGAAACTACATGCATTAATGTTATAACATGCAATTGATTAACTTTTGAAATCCCAAAGCAAGTATTTAAGTCTTTTCAATTTGTCATTATTTAATGATTTTAATGTCTTAAAAAATTAACTTAAATAGCATGGTTTCACTCAAGTAAAATAGGAATAGCAGTGTTTCCCACAGAATGACGAGATACCTGGGCAACACACAACTTTAATCTGTTCAATTTATCCACGCACAAGCACAGACATTAACATTTTTTTAAAAATGGAGCCATGAAAAGCTTCAGTTATGCACTGAGAGTAAGAAAGAGAGAGCGCATTCAGTAACCACTCCACATTCACAGGGACCATGAATCAGGTTTCACTCTCCCACACGCAGAAATTTTATGAATAAATTTAAGATTAAATAAAAACAGATCGGAAATATGCTTGTGTGGCCATAAATTTATTTGAACTTCCCGCCTAAGTACCGTCTATGTGTGGAAAACACTAAATAGTCATTACAATCTTATACTGTAGCTCAGCATCAACATCTACAGACTAACAAAAATGGTCTGTATTCTCACCGCCACAATCGTGAAAAAGAGAGGACAATATTTACACTCCGACAACTCTTGTATAGTTTTCTATCTAGAGTTATGTGGCTGTGCTGCTGCTGCACTAAACACACCTGAGCTGCGTGTCCTCGCGCAGCGTGAGTAGTCCGTTAGACACCAACGTCCGTTCCTCTAGCTGGCTTAAAGCTAACTTGCTAAATGTTTATATGTGTAGTCAATTGATAACATGCCTACGGGGCTTTCAAGCGGATATTCAATAATTAATCAGTCGTCCGTTTTTAAAAACAAGCTAGGCTATATATGACCGTTGAATACGTGCTAACGGAAAATACAGCGGACAAACGTTGGAACCGTGCGTCTGTTAGCTAGCGAGTCTACTTGACAAAAAAGTTTGCATTGATGGATTTCATGAGAAATGTATAAATACATGCATATATATATACATAATATTTGAGTTTCGATATCAAATTTTCCAATATTAAATGTACATAGTTCACAATTTACCTATTTATTAAGATGAATGAGGATGTACTTACTCGTGACAGTCCGATCACACCTTGCTCCTCCAAGATGAGATGGCGAAAAGAACTCTGACGTCATGTCCGCTTTGAATCAATTCTAGTATCTGGAACGTTTATGTAAATTGTTCTAAAATATTTTAACTAACTTAATCTCGTTCTTACAAGAGCTAGCTGTATTTAAAAGTTATACATACGTTTTAACAGCTTTAATTAAATAATGTGAAGAATTGAAAGATTCATGTTGATTCGAAGTAATTTAAATAAATATATTTTAAAAATATGATTATTTGAATAAAATATAGTGGAAGCAAATACTTAAAAACAAAATATGCCATTAATCATTTTCTTGAGTGTATGAACATCTGGTCTGCAGGGGACTTGTGCTGCACATATAGAATCAATCATTTGTAGAAGTCACCTGGCTATGATCATGGTCCAGTTGTACATGACAGGTAGTGTGATGATGAACAGCCAGTTGTAATACAAACCTCCTGCAGGATTAATGACAAATAACTCTTTTGGCCTATGAGAAGAAAGAAAGGAAATGCAAATTAAAATGTGTGGACACGGGTTTGAATAATGGCCTTTAAGAAGTTACTTGAAATGTCGCACATACCTGTCTTTGTCCTCTTGCTTTTCCTTCTCCTTTTCTTTTTCCTTTTCCTTTTCTTTCTCTTTTTCCTTTTCCTTCTCTATTTCCTTTTCCTTTTCCTTTTCCTTTTCCTTTTCATTTTCCTTTTCCTTTTCCTCTTCCGCTTTGTCCTTTTCTCTGCAATATACATGAATACATTGGAGAATACTGAGGATTCAAATTCTTTTTAAAGCAGCATTTACTAAAATATTTGTAATAAAGCATGATTAGGCCGTTTTCACATTTAACTTCTTTTTTCAGAAAAAAATGCAAGTGTTCTTTAACCTTAACAACAGGATCTAGCCTACAGCGCAACTGTTATCGTCTTCACTTCATTACATTGGCTGGTAAAATGGCTAATAAAGTGTAACTATTTGAATTGGCTTTGGCGTTTGAGGAGGAGGTTCCCCTGCACCAATGCACCGGTTAGGGGTGCATGACATCCTCCTCAATAGAGAGTCGCAGGGCGCATTCCACAACCTGATCCAGGAGCTCCGCTGTACTTACCAGGAAGACCCAAAGATCTACTATCTGTTTCCAGATGGACTCCTTTATATGTATGCTGCTGTATCGTTTGTGACTCATGCCATATAACTCGGTGTAAATGGCAATCACAAGCTGTTCAACCGGTACTTTCACGTTATCCATCTTGGTGGGTGTATTTTTAGGGCACCAGTAACTAGGGACGTAGGTTACAAGGAAAGGTACATGCACACCTACTCAACTCCTCCTGATTGGTCAGCTGCCAGAAAGGCGCTTGATGTCACAGAGCACTTTTCTGAAAAGTTAAAAGAATTCAACATAAAAAGGCGTCGGGCGCAGCGTTTTTAAAAAAAGGCGCCGTCCTTTTTCTTGTTTCCATAGGCTTGTATGTTAAAAAAGGCGCTGGCAGTTGAAAAAAAGAAGTCAAGTGTGAACACGGCCTTACTCTTTCTTTTCCCTCCTCTTCTTTTTCTCACTGGAAAAGGATTAATTAACACATGGACGGTAATGACTTGAAGGAAAACATCAAAGACAAACTTTGTGACAGAAGGGCTTCACTTATCTTTTAATGACTCTCTACACATACTCACTCTTCATTGTTGTTGCTGTGGTTCAGATTAAGCAGATGAGGAGGATTGGATGGAGGAACACTTCTGGGACGAAGAGAGCATGTGACACATCGAGTCAATTAACTGACAAGTCTTACTTGTTTTATTGTCATTGATGTATATAAGCTCTCTGTTTGAATTAGCTTACAGGTCATCCTCGCTGTGCTCCTCACGTTCTGTGCTGAGCTGTGCTGCAGTGTGGGGTTGCACTGTGAGGTGGGGGAAGACGGTTGGAGTGATCATGGTAGCAGACCTGCAGTTTAACCTGCAAGTAGAAATGATAAGTTTACATGTTGTGTAATGCTGTTGCTGTGGATGTGCCTCACGTTGACATTTCCTGATGTTGATGTCGATTGCAACCTCATCCAAGAGCTCAAATAATGGAGCTCAAATTCTCTCATATAGTAACTTCTCTATACTGTCAGATGCATTTAATGATAATACATTTATTTGTATGGCAGTTGGTAGAACATAACATATGGAGATAAAACAACAATAAAACCATAAAATCAATAAAAAGCAAGTCTAAAATAGTGAGCTTTTTGATTTGATCAACAAGAACCACAAACAGGGGCTAATAGAGAGCTGAAACCATCACTTGATCTTTAAAGGTCACATATTATGAAAAATGTACTTTACAATGTATTTAGAAAAATATAATGTGTCCCTATCCTGTCTTACCCCTTATTATGAGAAAAGTCCATCTCAACCTTTTGCCTGCTCTAATTTTCAGAAAATGTGTGCTCAAACAGGCTGTTTGGAGATTTTCCCTTTGTGACATCACGAAGGGCAGTAAACCTTAGCCCAGGCTGGGTGACACTCCCACAGCTCGGTGTTTGTTCTACTCTCTGAGTCTGCCTTCTCACCATAACAATAAGGCACGGTTCAAGAAAGCCCCAGCCACCCAAGTCCTTCATACACATGTTTTCAGGGAGCTCTGGACTTATTTAAACTTTTAAAAGGAGGATGTGAAAAAGGAGGATGTGACTTTGAAAGTAAACAGAACATTAAGCTGCAACAACTTTTAACTAATCATTAAAGTTTATGCTTCTGGCTGCTCGAATGTAAACATGTGAGACCTTCTTTTTATTGAAATGTATTTCAGTTTCCTTCTGTTGTTTGGATAAAACAAACCATTTTGACATCAACTCTGTCTGTGAACCTGTCAGGGACATAAATTATAAACTACAGAAGACTCAAGGAGCAAAGTTATTATAAACACAAGTTTTAAAATGTTTCTCTACTTTTAAACTTATTGTTTGACCCTTAAAGTATAAAAGTCGGGGACACATGCATCAGGACTTCACATTAAATTGTTCTAATACCAAACCACATTGCAAAGAAGAGCAATCAGAAAAGACAAACTTTAACAAAGCACGCAACAATCATTTCCTCACCTGATGTTATTTAGTTGCAATATGTCAAATAGAAAAAAAATATTTTAGCATGCTATTTCATGCACTATGTTTATTTCTCCATGTACAGTAATTTACGACAGAGTGTAAGTTTACATTTCCAACAGGTGAACAAAAATATTCTCCTTGGTCAGACTTTTGTCATTTTTAAAATGGTTGTTTGATATATTCAGCCGAGTCATGAGAACCCAGAAACATAAAACATGAAGGAGAATTTATGATCATTACATCAGCATATTTGTATTCATATACACTGTTTAGCAGATATGCATCAAATTATATGAAGGAAAAAAATGTATAATGTGACTACAGCAAAAACAAGCTAGAAATAAGTACAAATTAATTAATGATCAATAATTCATTCTCTTTAATTCAACTTACCTTCTACATGTGTTAATGAAAACTGAAGTCCATTCCCTTTAATAGGCATGTAGTTCTTAATATCTGGAATCTGTGAACTCACAGCTAAAGATTAATTTCTCTGACACGAAATGAAAATTAAGTATTATCAAATATCGAGATACAAGTGTCCCCTGCAGGAGCTGAGTGTAACAAACTGTGTCATTGAGTCTCAGTGACCCTGATAAGGATTTGTGGATTAGAGTTGGCTGAGAAGAGGAGAAGCAGAGTCACTCATCCGTCTTATCTGACCACTCTGCGGGGAGATGAAATACTTTAAAGTGAGTTTGGACAACGTTCAGTTACTCCGTTAGTGCTGAAAACCATAATGTTGACACCTCTTCTTTAAAAAAAAAAAAAATCTGCGACAGGCTGTAATTTTCCTGACCACTTGCGGAACATCAGTGGGGTTTAGTCTGCCCGGACACACACAAGAACACACACACACACACACACACACTCACACTCATACACACACACCAGCTTCTCCTGCTCACTCAGCACTCTCTGCCGTATCCAGCTCTGATCCTATTAAATCTATGCGGGTGTTACAGATTGCAGATCAGTGAGAACAGGCTCCTTTTATATGAATGAAGATCCTGAGAGGGAAATTGAATCTGAACCTCAGTCAGTGTTGAGCACTACATCCAAACAGCAGGATAGCTTCCCCTTCTCCACCCAAGTGCAGAGGAGACATCCTGCGGTTCAGTGGCACTCCCTGTTGGATGAAGTGCTGTTTGCAGTTTTGTAAAAACTCTATTCCCAGCTCTTATGATCCAAGAAGCATCAATAGAAGTGAAATAACGGCGTAATCATTTGTGTATGATTTGATGGGTTGAATTGAAGAAAGGCTAAAAGTCTCCAGTTATTTCTGAGATAATATGTCCTTTATTTGAACGTGCATACACTTAATATAAGACTTAATCTCAGATAGTTTCACATGTCATAGTAGGAAAAGTGCAGGTGTAATTATCAGCATTCATTATGACTGAATCAAATGCAAGTGTCCATTGATGTCACATGGCTTGTGTCACATGGTGCACTTGAAAGAAATGGAGCCACCATTAATGTTATTAGTGACACGTGCTCTTCTCCTACCTTAGCACAATGTCTGAAGGATTTTTATTCCTGAAAGATATCCATTTTTATCTTGAGCATACATTAATATATGGATTTTGCATGCAAAATCATGACTAATAGCAAACATACAAACTATTTTTTTTAATTGTCCAGCCCTGAACCAAAAACACAACCATCTTGTTTTGCTTTAAACTGCTCTCCTGTTCATGGCTTCACATTTTTCATGGACTGTATAAAAGAAGTGGACTTCGACTTCAAAAACTGTTTGTTTTTTTTAAAGACGTGAGTTTCATGGGTTTCATATACCAAAGAGGAAAACATGAAACAAGCATTTAGGATCAATAACTCCTTAAAAAAATGTTTATTGAGATAGTAGATCAAGTCTTAAACATGAGCAAATTATCAGACAGTCACAAATTAACTGTCTTCTTTGGCATCATTGGAATCGCCCTCTGCTGGTTATTAAGAATAAGGTTAGTTTAATGTACTTCTGTGTTGGCTTTATGGAATTCTTTTACATGTGTTTTATTCAGTTTCCTGGCAAAATACTGCTATCTTTTTATCACTGTGTATTGCAACTACATCACCTATTACTTACTCAATTACTGTAGCTATTACTGTAGCTATTAGCTTCTAGCGGAGAGGCACTTTGGCTAGTAATTATTGAAAGATAACTACAGCACAACAGGATCAGCTGGGGCCGCATCAGCAGCAGGGACATCAGCCGGGGCTGCAGCATCAATAGCCACCTCTGGGGCAGCTGGGGCACTATCAACAGGAACGATATCAACGGGAGGAACATCTACAGCAGCAGCATCGACTGCAGCAGCATCCACTGCTGCAGCATCCACTGCTGCAGCATCCACTGGGGCATCAACCACAGCTGGCTCCACAGCTGTTGCGGGGTCTGCTGCGGGCTCGGCTGCTGGCTCGGCTGCAGGCTCTGGCTGCGGGCTCGGCTGCTGGCTCGGCTGGTGCTACTTCAACAGCCGGTTCAGCTTCGGCTGCCTCAACCTCCTCTGCCTCTTCCTCCTCATCTGAATTCAGGGGAACAGCAGCAGCTGCAGCTTTAGGTGCAGGGTTGCCATCCTGAGCAAAGAAGGGAGAGAAAAGGAGTTAGAGTCTACTGGCAAACATTCTTGATATATTTAGTATATATGTCCACTATGACAGAAATGTCAGTTATCTAGTGATGGATAGTTTACCTTGAAGCATGTGAAAGAATTGGATAATTTTTTAAGATTTTTTTTTTTTTTAAGAGTTTACATTTAAGAAAAGTGTGCATTTCAGGTTATAAAAACGTCTAATACAAGATGCCACTGGTTTCATTTTCTTAAATGTACCACCAGGGACTTAACATATGGACTACAGGTCAGAAGATCCCAGACACTGCTCATTCAATCTGTTATTATCTTGTCCTCCAACTGTATTTAGGTTCCATACACTTATGAACACAACAAAAACGTTTTTCTTTATCAGATCTTGAAGATCACTTAGAAAAGAAAACATGCAAGTGGATCACAGGGAAACTATTCAGCTAATATGTTGATTTTATTTCCGGCTATTGTCAGCATTGCACACGAGTGCTATCAATGCAATGCAGGAAAACAATCCCAGGTTTAAATAATCAAACCTTTTGGCTGAATTTCATCCAGCTGCCTCAATTTCAGCGTCTTCCTGTCGGGTCATTGTCATGGTTTTCATTGACAGTTGAATAGCCACCAGTGATGTTATAGCTTTGTCTTTGTTTTTGTACTTTGTAAAAAACAAAGCGCTCAACATGTGAGGTTATTCTGTGCTTTTTCATGGTTTTGTTTTTTGGAAGCCAAATCACTGCAGGCCTTTTTTAAAGCAGAGCCTCTTTCTGAAATTCAATTCTGGACAAGTGAAACCTTTTAGAGAAAGGTTAAGTGAGTGCGATTTGCTGTCTGCGTGCTGTTTCTACAATATCCCCATGTAGCCTCCAAATACACACTAATAATACTGTATATGTTGTGAAACAAATATATGTTTTTCCAAGTAGAAAGAAATGTATCAACACAGAGAGAGACACATTTCCTTAACTTTGTTCCTCACCTCTGCCTCCTCTTCTGATCCATCTCCGACGGCGATGGGAGCCGGAGGGGGAACATCGGCTGCCTGTGCGGGTGCAACCTCCACCTGCATGAATGAAACAGATTTAGCTTCAACAGCTTATTACATTGCGACTGGTTTGATGTTGTGGTGCTGTATGTGCGCCTACCACTGCTGCCCCGACTGGATCAGCCTAAACAAATGAATAATTCATGTTTAAGTATGAACCTTAGTTTTACATTTCAAGTTTTCTCATAACTTTGAAACTCAAGTGGTGTTAGAGTCTACCAAGATGTAAACTTACAGGAGCATTAGCAGCAGGGAGGAAGGGGTTTCCAACTACTCCCTGAAAAAATACAGATTCATCAGTAGAGTTAATGATTTATCCCGTTAAAGTCTGAATTGATAAGAAGATTATTCATATTTCTTTCTTCTTTTTTTTGTCTTAGTGAAGCTTCGATGAACCCCCCTCTACCTGCTGCTGGTACAGCCTGTACATCTCCATCCACCTCAGGGCCTGATTAGCATGTGCCGCAACCTGCTGAAGAAATACCAGACATCTCCAGACATGAGCTGAGATCCAGGTAATTATCCCTCTTACTGTCAAACACATATCCTACTTTATGTTTGATGACATGACAGAAACATGGTAAGACATGCAAGCGCAGACAAAACTTCAATCTACCTCGTTGCTCTCACTCCCAGGAACCTGCAAAACCAAGTAAAGGAAATTAGGATGCAGCAGCTTCTTAATACATACAAGAAACAAAAGTGTTTCAACTATTTTTTTCTTTAAAAGGGGTTCAGTTGGTTTATGGAAAACTATGTTCAGGAAAGTCTTACAGGAGCGGCCATGGTAGAGACCAGCAGGCACATCGTGATTACCAAGAGCTTCATCATGATTTCTGTGTGGAGATAAACACATGGCAATACAGATTATTTCAGTTTCTATGTTAAATTAGAGAAATCATCTTTCAAATTAAAATGAATGGAAGATAATTTGCTTCAATGCCAACAACGTCATCTAAAGTCTTAAACTGTTTCCATGTGAGAAATCCATCTTACCTTTATTCTGCTGGCGCTGAAGGAAACTGAAGTCGAGTGTCCTCAGGGATGGAAAGGGATCTACTTCATCGCTAACAAGGAAGCCATTTATATACTGGGACATCCTGCGACAGCCAATCACATCCAGTAAGACACACAGAGCAATGTCTTTGAAGAAATCTCCTTAGATTTCAAAACAGAAAAACGGAGGCATGTAGGGTGAAGGCCCTCTTATAGTTAATTACATACTGTGCAAGAATGCCTCGTTCACATGGCCTCCTCTTTACTGCCCTAAAACCAAAATGAGATGGAAGAAAGACGCCATGAAGACAGCATGTCATGAGAATGAAACAATAATGACAGACACCATCGAGTCTGACGTTAATAAATGATGACGGTATATGAAGAAGTGAAGGAGGTCATTAAGCTTTTCAACACTGACAAATTGTATACTGTATACCCTATAGTGCTACAAATAAAATAAAAATTATATATGATATAAAAAGATGTGAAAAAAATATCCATTTCCAGACGTGGACATAAACCATATAGTTTCGAGTAGCACACTTTTGGGTAGAATATAATTTATGGTGTCTGGCAGCACTATCCCTGTGTTTGTTTTCATTGGTGTGGTTGTACATTGCAGGGATTGAGAACAGCGTAGGTTTCCTCTGTTTATTTTTCTCAATCAGATAATGAAGGACACACTCTGTAATTTGCAAAAACTGTATTCTAGACATTATTGACGCTAACCTGCTGAGCTAATGACTTTCCACACACGGATCACAATCTTTTCATTAGTCTTTCAAAAACATTTACTGTCATTATCTTGGCACACAGTTTGGCTTGTTCCTATGTTTACGTCCATTAAAGCTCCACAGTGAGAGAGGTTATGAGGTTATAAACTGAATGTTTTCCAGACACACAAGAATGCCTCACTCTTGCCAGCTTGAATGAATTTTTATTTTCTTAAGCAAAGACGTCAGTACCCTGATATCTAAACAAGAGTTTGAGAATATACCATATTATATCACTCTTATGTGTTAAATACAATGAATAAAGGGTGTCTTAAAATATTCTCTTGTTCTGAAAGTGTAACAAAAGTTTTGGATCAAACAGAACTTCAATCTTGAGGTGAAAAGGTCAAATAAAAGGATAAAGCATGTATAGGTTGAAGATAAACTGATCTGCGGGAATAAAGCTTATGAGCTGTTGTTGATTTGTTCTACCACTCAGGACCACACAGAAATCAAGCCAAATGTGTGGTTGTAATTAGAGCAGCTTTAAATAAACTCTTGACATGGCACCTTCGTCAAATTCTGACTAATATCTTACCATCCCTCTCTCAGTTGCCAAAAAGTTGTTTGACTTGCTTCAATTCAGTTTATTTAAAGTTTGAAGAGGTCAAAAAGCTCCAGGAACACTTGTACTACGAAGAGCGACTTTATTAACAAATGAGACCACGCTTCACTCTTCAGGCACCTTGATAGTCAGTGAAGTTTTGCCAGAAAATCCCACTCATCTTCTTCAGATTATGAAAAGTTCAACAGTAGTGCTCCCTGAAGACAAAGGGGTACCTCTTACCTCGTCCCTGATTTTTTCCCGTAAATGCATAGGTAGTGTTTTTGACCCAAAAAATAAATTTTATCTCTCTGTCTTTTAACAGTCAATAACAGTCAGCAATAGTCATTCACTGAGTTCTACTTCTGACTAACAAAGCTAAGAAGTTATAATGGCATATTACCATTTTAGAACAGTGGTCCCAGCATCATACTGCAATAGGTCTTATTCATTTTTTTTTGTTGTCCAAGCTGTTCTGTTGCCCCAACACCCCCCCCCCTTTTCTCTTTAACCGCACAGACCTGCACATGTCTTTTCCGCTTATCATCTCAGTCTGATACAGAGCTTCTTTATTTTTCCATTTCTCTTATTGTGTGTTTAAAAATGCCCGCGTGACTTAATGCCTTTGCAGAAGTATTGTTCAAAGACCATCACGCTGTAGTTGTGACAAGTCAAATTAAGGTTATTAAACCTGCTGTCGACATCTCCTCATGTGTGAGGGGGTAGGAGTTATGGATTCATGTGATCTTAAGTTCCAAGAAATAGAGCTCGTGGGCAAGACACAGTGGTAGCGTGAGAAGATGGCACCTGTGCACTTCAAGGGTCTTTGAAGAGTTGTCATGTTCTGACAGGCCTCAGTCCCCAGGGGATCAAGGATCGGGGAAATCTTGTATTTTTCTTAGATAGTTGTATGTAACTCTGGGAAAACCTGCAAATGTGTGCAAAAATGGAGCAGTGTGCGAGCTGTCTATACTGTGTCGGTTCTTTTAACACCATGTTCAGTGGCCCCCTCAGTCTGCTGCTATAGAACCCGAAGCGTTCATGGACTTGATATTGCCTGGAAACATGCATGTTGTGGCAGGAGTTTTGTCCAACCTGCCACAGCTCTACAAAACACATATGTAGCTGCCATGTGTGTATAAGTCCTAGGTATGTGGGTATGTGTTGTGTCTTGTGTGTTTCATGTGATCTTGTGTTGTGTAATGTATGTTCCTATGGTAATAAAAGGGCTGACAGACTGTGGAAAGGCCTTTCATTGGAAAAAGGACAATAACCAGTTCATATATCCAATACCTTTACCTCTTCAACTCTAGCAAAAGACGTTCATTATATATTTCTTCTTCTTGGATATATCCTGTCGTGTTGCATGGGAGTATATCTTCAGTACTTTTCAATGTTCAATGTTCAACGATTTGAAAACTCAATACTTTGCTCCAAAATCCAGCTGACATCAAATGACAATGCATCTAGCCCATGTGTTAAGGCCCTGACGCACCAAGCAGACGCTAAAAACTAGTGGTGACAAAGACCAACTGTGGTTGTCTTGTCTGAAAAGTTGCACTTGAACACACCGCAAAGCCTACAGCCGATGGCCGACCACCATCTGATGAAAAGTTGAAAATGGTATTGTCGTTGACAGCCCTAAAAAGAAAAGAAGAGGCGATAAATAGGGAGAAACCACTCTAAATAGGTGAAAGCAGGGAGACTACAGTGGCATGCTCATCGGGCTTTCCCGAACCTGTGTCAAGACTGGAGTATAATGTAACCTCCAAACAGTTGGTATCACCGTTGGTACAACTAGGGCCGACGGCCGACGATCTCCATGGTGTGTAAGGGCCTTTAAGTATGATCACACAATATAAGCTAGAGGCCATTTTTTTCATACTATACAATCACATCAAGGATGACTTAGTTTTGTAAACTATCTAGGATCCAGCCATTGAAGAAAATATCCTTACATCAAGAATCTTACATTTGTTTTGTTTGTTTTATTTTGAGAATGTTTCTTGGCAGAGCTGCTGCTACTGGAATCAGTCAGTACATATCTCCAAGCTGCTTCTAAGCTAATTCAACAGTTATCATGCAACATTTGCATGTCTCATTGCAGTAAAACTTCCTTTCTGTAATCACCTATTATAATAATTAAAGGGCCCATGGGGCGTTTTCTTGTAATTATGCATTTAGTGTCACTCACCAAAACTATTATATAATGTTTGTGCAAGTCGAGTTTTGTACCAGTCGTTGAATGAATAGACGGCAGTGTCTTCCAGGAACCAGAGACAACAGATGTCTTTAACTGAAATAAAGGTAGATAGTATAAAAGTGGACTACAGCTGTGGAGAGCAGAAACATGTAGTATTTTAAGCGAATGGTGATTAAAGGAAAATTAATCTGCAGAAATTGTGATAATGCATTCATCATGTGAGTTATCTTGCCACAAAATGCCAAACTGTTTGTGAATTTGATCATCTAAAATGTGAGGTTCTTACTGCTTTTCCCAGTTCCATGTCACTGTCTGGGTAATCATACGACAAAATATTTTTTAAGACGTCACATTAGGAAATGTGTCATTGTCTCATCTATGCACCGATCCACTTTTTTTCAGTTCCCATCCAATTCTTATCAGTATATACATATGTACCAATACTGATGCTAATTCTGATATTTTTATATCATAACTAATAGTGTTATTGTTGTTGTTGGTAGTATGTGTAAGGCTACACAAAGCTGTAGTAAACCTGGCATTGCATTGCATTTTGCTGGCTTCACCAGCTTCATTTTAAACTGAAGTGTAAGAATTGAAAAATGATCATCTCTGTACCTCTATGATTTAATTAAAGGACTTCATTCACAAATTATCAACCTTTGAGACTCTTAAATTAAACACCAAACAACTGAAAATTTGCTTGAAAACATTGACTTTAATTCTTAATGAACATGACATATAAGGTTCAAATTAGTTAACAAACACATGCAGTACATACTTTTATACTATGGTACTGCAGCATTACAAAGTGCTTCATTAAAACAACAGAATGGAGATTAAAACTACAAAGTAAAGCAGAAAATTCTTCAGAGATATGTTTCCTTCTATGCAGATGACATTGTCATATTTTAGTTTAAAGTTATTTTCAAATCAAAATCAGGATATTTTGTTATCATCTAAACAGTTGGTTTTAAATTGAGTACGCACATACAAATGTTGCATAAATAGATTTAGTGTGACACTTTTGACATCATATGTTTAGAGCAGATTTCTGAATTGGAACAAACACTTTTTATGTTTCCTTTTCACATCTGTCATCACTTTACATCACTTTACACCTTCAACGGCACCTGAAAAGTCAATAAAAACTGAGTTAACAAGTTATATATTTACAGAAAAATACAGTTTTATTTTTTTCTTCAATTTATTAACATTTGACTTAAATGCATCCCATGTGATATAAAGACTTATAAGTGTACCTGGCTTGTCTGTGTGGGCTGGTCCTGCTGGAGAGGTTGCATGGGGTCCTGGGATGGGAGAGGACTGGCAGCAAATGGGGAAATCTGAATAGAGTAAAGTTCTACTTTTAGAAAAACTCAGTCAAGAAATATTGGCAGTCAAACCATAGACATTGAATCAATCTTCAAAGGACAATATGTACAGGTAAATAAAATCTCAAATTATCTTCTCACATTTGGGATTTGGGGAATATTTTGAGGTGGATGATCAAATGGCATTACCTGTGAAAGGACAAATAGAAGTGTTGAGGGAAATTTGATGTATGGAAATATGAATGGAAAAGTAAAATAGTACCAATGATTGTTGTCTTACATTTGGTATCTGAGGGACGTTTGTCATTGGTGGGATGTTTGTGAGTATCTAGAACAAAAGCAAACACAATCATGTCATACTCAGTACCACATAAAAAAACTAATTATTTCATATTTATATAGTACATTGTGAAATGAAATAAAAGTTTGAGATGTTCACCCTTTGCTGGTAGAAGTCATAGGGGTAGTACTGCAAATAAAGAGCAGAGACTGTCAATTAAAGGTGATCCAACAAACATGCTTTTGAAGAATAATTGAAGTGTTTTCATTCCCATTAGTGTCTGAAATCTGAAAAGAGGAAAGAAAAGGTGAAAAAAGAAAAAACTTACCACTTCCACACTCTGTCTGCCAGGTGGCTGAGGAATGGAGTACTTGATGAAACCATGGGAGGGAAAGGGCTGCAGAAGGCGAGAAAAAGAAAACACAAGAAAAATCAATGAGAAGAAGTGAGTGGAGAGGCGATGTATTTAACAAGGTTTTTTTTTTTTTTCTTAAGAGTAGTTGCTCCTGTAAAATGTGTTCACCTGTGCGGTGTTTGATCCACCTGCACCACCAACAGGCTGGTGTGGATAGAGCTGAGAACAGAGAGGGATAATCAGGAATGCATTGTAAGCATTTGAATGCATCATCTTTTTAATGAACAGTGAGAAAATAAACAATGTGACTTACAAATTCCACACTGTAGGCACCAGTTAATCCAGGTTGTGGCAGACCCTGACCAGCTGTGAAGGGGATTTTCATCTGAATGAATAAAAAAACAGCAAAAAATGAAATGAACGTAGCATAGTTCTGATGTGCATCATGTATCACACTGTGAAAAAGGTTTTTTTCTCAGTTGTGTACCGTACACTTTTATCATAGTCAGAAAAAACCCTTTGACTCAGAAGGTAAACAGCACACATCATGATTACCTGTGAGGGTGGCACCTGTTGTCTAGAACCTGCGTAATGAGGCAGGTAATGAAAGAAGGACTGAAAGTGAAAAGGAAAAAAAGAGAAATCAATCTTGTTACTTGGCCTGAATTGAAGAAAAAAGAAAGTCCTGAGACAAACGTTCTTTTAAACTTACAGGTGCAGCTGAGACTGTGCTAGCCAGGCACAGGCAGAGGATTGCCAACATCATTTTTGCAGATAAAGACCTACAGACACATTTCATCATAACATTAATGCAGGTCAAATACACATTGGAGGGTTGACATCTTATTCTCGGCCACGTTGAAGTTGCTCATAACTCACCTTCTGTGATGAAAACCGAACAGGAGAGGTCGATTGGATGTGGTTGTCGGAGGGTGATACCAGTCGTTCGTATCTTCCACAGAACTTCTCTCAACTTTTATAGGGGACCAGCTCACCTGAGAGCCAATCCCAGTGGGTTGCAGTGATGTTACCCAATGAGTAGGTACAGTGCAGATGTCTAGTCTCCAGCTTTACTAAATGACCAGTGGTCAAATCCACTTTCTGTGTAATAGCAGACTCTGTCAGATTACACTGTCTAGAGCAGTGCACACCTTCCCTCTGCTGGCTCATCATTCTGCCATCATAACATTTATTGGTTCTGTGTGACCTCAGCATATAAGCGATATATAAAACTCAGTATGGTTTTCAAATGTTTTGCTATTTGTTTCTGAGTTGCTTTCGTGTTAATTGCATTTCTACCTGATAGATTCCAGAGAAACCAAGAGGTCACTTGTCTCTTTTTATCTTAAATGTACATGTTAAGAGTTTAGATGCTAATATCATGCAGTCCCTTATGTTTATTTTTTTTTATTTTCTTTTGTTTCTCTGCCCTCTTTTTTAAGTTCTAACTTGCAGAGACTTTGTCAAAAATCTAACAAGGAACATTAAAGGTTTATCTTTTGATTTCCGTGCATGTCATCAAAAATAGTATTGAAAGCCAGTTCTGTGGACTTTATGAAGAAGAACTATCCACACGGCAGTTCACTGATCATAATACACATCATGGAAACTTTTTTTTTTTTTATATGCATTTGCACCACCATGGTACCTACTCTGAAGCAGGAGCTAAAAAGGTTCCTCTTAATGAACCAAAATAGTTCATAGTTCCTGTGGTGCAGTTTCCAACGGTTCCTAGAACTATGAAGCAGTTCCTGTGGTCCAAAAACTCGTTATGAGTTCCCTTATTTGTTGATTTGAAAACGAAGATTTGATTGCAAACGACAACATGCAGGAACTCAAAACTGAAACAATAACACACTCATGCGTTGCTACATAGCATTTTTATTTTTATTTTATTTTGAAACAAAGCACTTTTTCCACTTTCTCCTTTTGAAAAGCAAAGCACAATCTGCCTAAAGAAATACAAAGCACAATTTTCTTTTCAAAGACATGATACCCCCATATTTGTCATACTTTAGGAAACAGCAGTGTGGGGGTCCACTTTCTGCAAGGCGGGCTGCGGGTCTTATTGAAATATTCATCTGTGAGGGCAAGACAGAAAACACATTGAACCATCAGTTGTTTTAATGAATACCGTTGTGTTTTAAAACATAGTCCCTCAGTAATATATATAAACGCACCTTTTGTGTTTCATTATTACTGAAAGAACTTAAAGTCTGAATTGTATAGTGTTACACTATGTGTGTACATTTACCTGCCCATGCACAAACATGTGCACGTCCTGCTGACTCAAATTTTTTAGTCTTCCTCTTCGTCGTCATCTTCAGCGGGTTTGACAGCCTGAAATGACAGAGGATCTCTGATGAGCCGATCAGAAAGGAGTGTTGTCTCTCAGGTGTCTATGATGTGTAATTGATTCAGAGCTCCTCAGCAAATATAGTTTGAAGACTGATTGTCTTTGTGTGATGTAATACTCTTTAATCACAAGGAACCTGCTGCTTTCATTTACTGGGGCGGCAGTAGCTCAGTCTGTAGGGACTTGGGTTGGGAATCGGAGGGTCGCCATTTTAAGTCCTGGCACGGACCAAGTCCAGAAATTGGTCTGGTAGCTGGAGAGGTGCCAGTCCACTTCCTGAGCACTGCCGAGATGCCCTTGAGCAAGGCACCCAACCCCCACCACCAGCTCAGGAGCACCCACTCCATGTGTGTGTATTTCGGCCTATGTTTGTGTAGCATGTTTACTAGACAGAGTGTAAAAACAAATTTCCCCTTGTGGGATCAATAAAGTATATTATTAAACAGTACAAACAGTTACAATTTAAAGACAAACTGTGCAGGAGAGACTGCTGACAATACATCAAAATGCAAATACATCAATACATCAAAATGCAAATTCATAGTCTTTCTTACAGGGGTACTTGCAGCAACCACCGGTAAAAGAGGGCCAGCGGGAGCAACAGGAGCAGCAGGGGCAACTGGAGCAATGGGTATAGCAGGAGCGACTGGGGCAACAGGGGCCACAGGAGCAACAGGGGCAGCAGGGGGTGGCACTTCAAAACCATAGGGGATGTACTGTAATAAAGGTGAGAAAGTGCATAAAAGATAATTAGTTTGATCAAGTCTCCCACCGTCAGAGTAAAGAACACCAGTAGTCACTTACCAGGTCCTTCGACCCTTTGCCGTTTGGTCGGGGGATCTCCTGCTTGATGAAGCCTCGAACCTTCCAGTGAAAAGACATGCAGGCTCACACAAGTACTTCAAAATGACAGTCAGGTGTAATCTGGCTGAACTACGTGGTGTCTGACCATATTATGTTGAAATGTATGTTAAGTATTGAAGTTTTGGAATGTATGTACAAAAAACAACTATCTCTCACACAGAAGCTAATGTTAGCTTTGGATTGAGTCCAAACAGAAGCTAATGTTAGCTTTGGATTGAGTCCAAACAAAAGGCTACATGCAGACGAAAACATTTGGTGTCACTCACAGATCCTGTAATAGGCCTTCCATTGGCATCAACTGGGAGCAGCTGGGAAAGAACAACAACAAGATTATTGTACAAAAAAGTGGTAAATGAAATACAGGGCAAAAAAAACAAGGAATAAACTATTTAAATTTTAAGCTCTTACAACATCAAGAGATCCGACTGGGGCTCCAGCAGGAATATACTCAGCTGCCTGTAGAAAAGAAATCAGTCGTTTTATGCCTTAGATAAGAAACACAGCAGTCTTTGAGTGAAAGAGCCAATGCAGGCTCAAATAGATGCAATGGCCTCTGTGATGACATAATAGCAGACCTTTGTGAGGAGCTTATGCAGTAATGTCTGTGTGTAATGTGTTTTTTTTTAACTGTGGGTTTTTTTAAGCATATGACAGGAAAATCATCTCAGATCTGTGTCTTGCTGTACCTCAAGCGGAGCGTGAATGATGTCAAACTCCATGTAGACCTGATGCTGTAAAGTGGAGAGAAGACTGCAGGATCAATGGCATGAAGGTCAGTCTGAAATCTATAACTCTTGACAAACATATCGTTACAACATAGGTACAAACATAGGTTAACGCTGACATGGGCAAATATTTCATAACTGATAGCTTCTAAAAAAAGCTGAGAAAAGGTGAGATTTTAAAGAGCTAAATTAAAAAGGACAAGACATCTTGAGGTAAGATCAGATAACACAATTTGAAGCTCCTCATTGGCTCCACGGGCCTTGACTTAATAGTATTTTTCAAATTTTTATAGACTACAGTGCTAAATAGATTTTGAGGATCTTTTACTTTTTTTTTCTTTGCAGGAGCACAGACAGCCACCCCCAGGATGCAGGCAACAATCAGGAGGGATTTCATTTTGAATGAAGCTGTCAAAGAGAACATTTCTTTGAGTTACAATATTCACCTCATCAGTTTGAATGTCATTTAAATAAATCATAATAAAAAATTTAAAAAAAAATGATAATATGATATTAGTTATCAGTATTACCTTTCGTTTATGGCAGCTCACGAGCACCGGAGGGTTGTTGAGGAGGGGTGTGATTACAGCAGAGAGATTTACTCCTATTTATTAGCTCAAGAGAGTAAGGGCGAGCAAACCCATGACAGGTGTTGGCAAAATGCCAACGATTTCATTTTTTTTTTGCACTATGGGAAAAACTGGCAGCTACAGGATTCGCTCAGAGAGAAACCGTGTAGTACATTTTTTTTGGCTTGAAATGCACATTAATCCCATTTGATCCCTCAGTGATGTGTTTAATCAGGTTCCTCCTTGTAACAGGATGAAAACCCTGAAAGAACACCTGATCAGAAGAGGAGGCAGATTTACTCAGACGATGAAAAGTGAAGCTTTTGAAACAAATAAAACACTTAAGTGGTTTTATATTAATATGTGTGTTTACTATAGGACTGCAGGCTGCGATTATTTGAATTGATTTATTGTTGTAACTATAATAATAATAACCTTTATATATGCAGCACTTTTCAAAATCAAGTTACAAAGTGCTTTACAAGGACGGTGATAGTAAAACAAATGTAAATGACTGGTCATAGAATAATAAACAAGGCAAATATTAAGCAAACAACAAAACATTTTAAGACATACAATTCATTTGAAAGACTATAAAATTTAAGTACAAAAATCAAATTCAACTCAAATCAGGAAAGGCTCGCTGGTACAAGTGTGTTTTAAGACGGGATTTAAAAGAGACGACTGACCCGGCTGCCCTGATCATGCCACAGTTTTGAAGCCCTCAAGGCAAACACTCTATCCTCTTTGGATTTCAGTCTGGACGTTGGAACAACTAGAAGACCTCTGCCCGAGGGTCTTGATGCATGAGTCGGCTCATATGGTAGTAAATGGTCATGGAGAGCTTTAAGAGTAACCAGTAGTTATCAGTAATAATTCCCCGAGCCTTAACATATTTAAATTGCTACTTTTGTCCAGCCCAACTCTGCATTCGATAACAGATCCTCACATCTGGACGAGCAGATGTTTGACATTTTATCACATTAAGGATCCAAACATTCAGCAAATGATCAAAACAAATAATTAATTTAATTCGCACTGATCTATGAAGTGATAGATAGTGGTACACATATTGGCCATCTTAAGTATCCAATCCCATCAGATTCATCAGATCTTCTTTTTTCCACTTGTGTTGTTTGATGTGGTTTAAACTTTCACCTTTCAAACGAACTCGTTCACCTTTTGTTTCACACCGATGGATTTAATGGCTCTGATGGAAGTGTAATTCTGGGACAGCCTGTAAGTACAGGATTCAAACAGTCACTCGGATGTGAGCCTGTGGGGACACTTAAGTGCTGCACTTTGGTCAAAATCCATTAACTGTGAAGAAAAGATAGCTCAGCATGACGATAAGACAAGCTCTTACATTATGCCGTCACTGGGCGGAAAAACACTACAATTGCGGGCGCTTAAATGATAGAAATTGTTATTCTTAAACACTGGGAAAGTAACGATGTGTTCACACAATAACTGCAACCTCAAGGGCTGAAAGATGAAGCCGATGCAGACACACACACACACACACACACACACACACACACACACACACACACACACACATAAAAAAACGTGCAGTAACAAGAAAGGTCACTCAAGGCTAGTTCTTCAAAACTGAACCCTTTGTCCTTCTTCACAGAACATTTAAACGTGCTCTCAGCCTGCTTCAAAAATGGTTTTCAGTCATTTTTTTTCATTTTGCTCATCAATACTGGGCGTGAATTGTAATATTACTCTCTTGTTTTAATTATTTAAACCCTTCAAGTTATTTATTTGGAGAGGTGTGGATATTTTTTTGCATTTTAAGACATTTTCATGCAACTTCAAGAAGTCTGTGCTTTGTAATATGATTTTTTTTTTTTTTTTTAGCACTTTTTAGCATGTGTGCTGGGATCACAATACCCGTCATATTAACCTGTTGACTTATCATATCCTAAATTATTTGTGGGAGGCCATATGAATCAAACAAACTGGCCATCTTACAATAACTCTATCCACTGTCCTAACTGTTAATGCTAATATATTGCTACTGGAGTTTTCTCACTGAAAAAGCTGGCGCACTGACTTGTTAGGGTAGAACTTGAATCCTTTGTATGAGTTGCATACATTTTAATTCACATAAAGTTGTCATGTATGGGGAAATTATCTCATAAATTCTGTTGTTTGTACCACAGTGTTTAATTCAGCTGATAGGGTATTTTAATAAGGGGCCTAACTGGAACTGACTCACTATTAAAATCTGGCCTCAAGTGGCCACTGTAGTTTTTTTGCTTTGTATTTTCACAATCTACAAAATATGCTATTATAAATAATCTTAACAAACAAGAATGATATTTATAACAGTGTTGCTCAAAATAATAAATCCATTGTTATTAACCACCTAATTCAGCTTTCTTTTTACAGCTCATAATTTTTCATTTTGATTCAGACTCACTAAGTCATCAACCCTGTTTTTGGAAGCAGCTGCTGTCAGCATTTTAAAAACCTGCTGTGCACCAAAACACTACCAAGACAGACAAAGTTAGCAACTATCTGTTAAACATAATGAAGCAGCTACAGGACCAGACTTTAACTCTGGAGTCAGAGGAATCAAAAAGAAAACAGAAACAAAACTCAAGTAGAGGGTCACTGAAAGTTTATTGTTCAGGTGGACATAAAAATGACATCACATCAATATCGAAGTTCCTCTGTGTCTGCTAGATTTAAAGATTGTCTGTGATGTCTTTGCAGCCTGTTTTAAGGAGTCAGGAGAGGTAAAAAGAAAAAACACAGACATTTAATGTAGGTTTCAAAATAAGAATTTTTATACTCATTTTTAAACTGAAAACAAGCAAAGAATTTTAAAAAGAAGATTTTATACAGCGAAACAACTCCAGTTTTAGCAGTCTTGCTTAAATGTGAATTAATTAAAAATCCAACAGGCAATGGTAATAAATGAAAAAACGTTGCACTATTCGTAAATGACGTGGGTATGAGCTACTGAACGAGATACTACTCTGACTCCTTGTTAGTCTATGTGTTTCATCACTGATTTTGTGATGTTTAATTATCAGCATGTTATGACTCTTCTCTGCTGCTGGCTGCTTCCTCAGACAAGGTTTCCCTGTGTGGCTTGGAGTTCGGGTTGAACAGGTGTTTGGACTGTGGCTGCCACCTGCGTCCGTCCCTCCAAACCTGCAGGGATCCCGTTCGTGTTAGGCTGCAGGCCCTGCGTCGCTGCCGCTCCAGCTGACGGGTTCTCAACTGTTGGCACTATGCTTTGCTGTCCCTGGTTTTTCAGCCCAGTGGCTTGGTTCACAGGCTGAACAGCAGATGGGCTTGTGAGCACCGAGGTTAGGTACACACCCAGCCGACCTGTGTTGGCTACCATCTGAAACAGAGGAGAGAGGAAAGATACTGTAAGAGGCGAGGGAGGGAGAAGGGAACAATTGGATCACCAGTCGGATCACTGAGTTCACTGTGCCGATTGTTTGAACAAGCTGAGAGACTAATTATCATTTTGGCTGTGTTATACCTCGAGTTCTTCTGAGCTAAGACTGCCAAGGGGAGCGTTCTGCAAAAGAATATCAGCAAATGTCAAATTAAACATGATCAGAGGAAGAACTATGAAGCCAAAGTTTGTTTTGCTTTTACCATGGATCGCTGGAGCATGTAAACAATTTGGGAATTCTGTGGATAGAAAATGACACAGGCTTAGAAAGAATAAACAATTTTCCATTAGGTTTAGGCAAATATGTTGTGCTGTTGCTTTAAAGTTTATAAAGATAGAGACACCTGTTGAGGTTGCTGTTGTTGTTGTTGTTGTTGTTGTTGTAGTAGTAGTTGCTGCTGTAGTTGCTGTTGTAGTTGCTGTTGTAGTTGCTGTTGCTGCTGCTGTTGTAGTTGCTGTTGCTGCTGCTGTTGTAGTTGCTGTTGAAGTTGCTGTTGTAGTTGCTGTTGTTGTTGCTGTTGTTGTTGCTGCATTGGCTGAGGTGTATTTACTGAGGGAGTAGCTCCAGAGGGGTTTTGGACAGGTAACACTGGACTGTTCTGAGGTTGATTTGAAATAGTTTGTGGAATCATTTGGAGTCCAAATTGGGAAAACTTAGGAGAAAGAGAAAAATACAATATACATTTTAAAATGTTGTCTAATCTTTCTGCACTAACACAAGTCAAAGCTGCCATTCTACTTCCCTCCCACTGCAAACATTAGACAGTTACATAAAAAGTATTACAATGGCTATACCTTCTGGCAGAAAAGCATGTTCAGGCAAAAAGAGGATCTATGTTTCCATATCAGAGTCATAAATCAAGTGATAGATTACGACTAAGTACAGATTTCTTAATTGCCAAAAACACTGTGTGTTTTGGCCGTTGCAATAAAATCCTTTACGGTGTGTGATGACAGCTAATCATGCAGAAATATTTGCGGAAAGACCCCCCCAGGTGAAATCTTCCAAGTACTGGGTTGGTTTGAAAAAAGTTTTGCACAGAGAAGTACATTTAGTAACGTCTGCAGTGCATGTAAAAGCTGGCTTTAGGCAACACAACATAAACAGTGATTTCTTTATTTGACCTTACCTGTTGATTCATATGCGGAGATGAAAAAAGAGGTAAGTAACTATAAGGAGAGAACATCTGAGGTGAAAAAGAAAATATATATTAGAAATGAGATTTAAAATTGAGTTCTCTCAAAATGTCTCTTAAGTGTTTGTGTCTTTATGTCCTACCATTGGCTGCTGTGGGACTGTAGGCTGGTTAACAGTAGATCCTTGGACACTGGGCTGCAGAGGGATAAACATTGGACTGCCCCCTAGTGGATACCAGGTGTAGAACTGTGTAGGAGGCAGAAACTGAGGGCCACCCTGAACCTGGGCCTGTGCTTGGGTCTGGGCCTGGGCCATGGCCTCTGGCTGCAGGGGGACACCAGGCTGTGGTTGCTCCACTTGAGGAGAGGGTGTCTGAGCGTCAGGTATTGGGTTTGTCACTTCAACAGGTTGAGCGGTTTGAGTGGTTCCTCCTTGTGA